TATATATATATGATGCATATATATATATAGATATATATATATATATATATATATATATATATATATATATATATATATATATATATATATATATATATATATATATATATATATATATATATATATATATATATATATATATATATATATATATATATATATATATATATATATATATATATATATATATATATTTATATATATTATTTTTAAATAGAGGCTTGAATCTTTGTTTTAATATATAATATAAAAGTAAATATACTGACATTGACAAAATTGTTGGCATAATCTTTAATTTTATCCAGGCCATTTTCATTAGCTTTTTTAAAAACAATTTCACATACTTTGAGTATCTTGGACTGCAGTAAGTTGCAGTTAGTTTTAGATGTTTAAAAGTGATATTTTAGAAAATAATGTATACAATTTAAGCATTTCTGTCTCCATATTTGTATATTAATCAAAACTAAGCAGGAATCCTTTACGTATTTACATTTCTGCTGAACGCAAGCATTCATTTCACTTTGCAACACAATATTGCATCACACAGACGGTTTAATGCATACATTAATAATAAGAAATAAATTGTGCCAACAGATTTCAAAATAAGAAAAAGTCAAATGTGGGTTTAGTATCCTGCTTTGTACACTCTCAGAAATAAAGGCACGTGAGCTGTCACTGAGGTGGTACCTTTTCAAAAGAAACATGTTTGGACTTAAAAACTACATATTTGTACCTCAAAAGTATATATTAGTACCTAAAAATTTTAAAAGGAACACTTTTGTACTTTTTAGGTACTAATATGTACCCTTGAGGTATTAATATGGATCATATAGGTACAAATTTGTAGCTTTTAAAAAGGTACCACCCCAGTGACAGCTCACGTACCTTTATTTCTGAGAGTGTACATGTGCGCAAAATGACAATGAGTTCAACACCAACCAATAACATGTAATGATCAACAATACGACCATCTAAACTGAACCAATTCGAGAGAAAAAAAGGCCCGACTGTGCCTGATGAGAACGCCTTACCTGGGCTCCTGACGGCCCCACCTTTTGCAGCTAAGAGAATGTTTAACAAGACAGTGAAGTACAGACCAAGCAGTGCTGTGCAGCTGGAATTTCATTTTCTGAGCAGAAAATCATTTGTGATCCAGTTTGTTAAGCAACATCAACTGATTTCAAACTCATGCCATCTGCTTTCGATTATCCGGCAGTGAACTGCTAACAATGTAATTAGCCGTGCATTTTCTGACTCACAGACAAAAGACTTTCCTTTTGGAAATTTCTGGTGTTTATGAAGTATTGAAATGGCTGTTTGTTTTAACAAATTCATTTAGGACACCAATACTTATTTTGAAGCCTATGTAAATAGGAAGTTGCTGAACTTTTATTTGAGTATATTGATGTACTTCTAACTGAAACTGAATATTGAGTAGGGGGCGGAGCTTTTATGTTGTGCATTATTCCCTTGTAGCAAACTAAAGCTAGTCACACTGGGCTTTTCCTCCCATAGACTCCCATTCATACGCACGCAAATGCGTCAGACCGGAAACGCAGGGTCATGCGTCAAATTTCGCAGGTTGCTGCGGTGCAAAGTTCAAGCTTGGTGAACTCTGACCTGCGAAAACGAATCACTTGACTGCGTGAGACCAATCGAGGATCAAAACATGACCTCTCTGTACAGAAATGTAAAACATGGAGCAATCGCTCCCTTTTTAAATGTCTAATAATCTTGTTTAATCCCGCCCCTTTTCGCAGCGCCGCATGACAGAATATCGCACACACAAACTCTAGTGTGGCCGTAGCTTAACTGTGAGAGGGGCGTGGCTAAGAAGATTGTGGCTAAAGCATCAAACTGACATCATCAGAAGGAGCCAATCCAAACACAGATGCTCAGACTTTGATTGAAGATTTCCAAACTTTTTTTTTTCAGTGGATTAACTTACATCATTTGTTCACCTAAAGAATAACAATGTGCGCTAGCAAAATAAACATTGTAACTTTGATTTCACTTTAAGACTGGTTAACTGTTGATAATCCTTATCGATTAATCGATTATGGGCTGAATTAAAAGCTACTAGCGATACTATGCCTGGAGAAGCTGAACGGGGTATTTTTTTACAGACTAATGATTAGGGATGTCCCGATCCGATATTGATATCGGAAATCGGTCCAATATCAGTCCAAAAAGCTATATCGGACTGCGTTAAAAATCTCAGATATAAGCAGTTCGATGCACTCTTAATGTTGTGATTGACAGTGGGGTTGTCTCCGCTGGCGATCACTTCCTGTAGTTTGTGTCGATTGCTAGTGGGGTTTCCTATATGGAAGACTGCCGCTGGGTGAACTCCAAATCCCAGAAACCCCTGCGCTCATCAACACTGATAACAGCTGACAATACACCGGACACTTGCACACAGACACAGCTGCTGCTCATTTACACTGATTAAATGGACTATATATACACCTCTCATTCATTTATTCATTAATTCGGGGTCGAGTCTTGTTGTTTCCATGAACATTACAAAGTATTTTGCTGGTTTGTCTTCCCTTGTTTGATCCTCGCTCTTTAAGTTTGTTCATCCCTGTCTGCAGCCTCTCTTTGATCATCTGCCAGTGTTTATAAGTACGACTCTGGATTGCCTTTATGCACCTGTTTGCCCCTGTATTGACCTTTGCTTTACTGTCCTTCCTATTAAAACTTGCATTTGGATCCGCAAGTCTGCTCCCAGTGTCTCCCTCGTTACACTTAATTCCGTTACAGCGTGCAAAACCCACGTTATCACAACACTGTTTGCTAGGCTAGGGAAAGTTACAGAAACATTTCTCCTGCTCTGAAAGTTCCAATGAGCAGAGTGGCCATTGATTTCAATTTTTTCATATGTTGGATCTGTCCATATTTGAACTAATGTTGGGATAATGTTAAAGTAATGTTTAAGAAAGCCAGCAAGTCTTAAAGCAGGGATGGGCAAACTTGATCTTCGAGGGCCGGTGTCCCTGCAGAGTTTTGTTCCAACACTAGTCAAACACACCTGAACATGCTAATCAGTGTCTTTAAGATCACAAGAAATCTACAAGCAGGTGTGTTTGATTAGGGTTGGAGCTAAACTGTGCAGGACACCGGCCCTCCAGGACCGAGTTTGCCCACCCCTGTCTTAAAGTGTACATTAAAAATATTTAGTTCGGGTGAGGATGTTTGCATTTTGAGTGTCATTTGCATATCCAGTCCTGGTAATCACCCTAAAGTAGACTCATCTTGCATTAATAGAGTTAACAATTAATCAATATACAGTAATATGTATTATTTGATTTTTTTAAACGCAGACTGTTCTATAATTATTAATCATTTTTGGCGATTGAAATCCTATGCATGGACTATATACATGAACTGAAATCAGCTGATGTGCTTTCAAAACCTGTTTTTTTTTTTCTTGTTCTTAAAGACTTGTTGACTCAAAAATGAAATTACTTTCATCAAGTACTTACCCTCCTGTAAACACATATGACTTTTTTCCTCACAGAACACAAAGAATGTCTGTTAATAAACATATTGTTAATAAATCAGTAATGAATACTTCAAACCAATTTAAGGGGATAGTTCACTCAAAAATGAAAATGTCCAGTTCATTTACTCACACACAGGTCATCAAAAAAAAATAAAATAAATAAATAAATAAATATATATATATATATATATATATATATATATATATATATATATATATATATATATATATATATATATATATATATATATATATATATATAAAAATATATATATATATATA